TTACATCAACACTTGTACATCCCTATACTTGTATTGGTTGTGTAGCTACTCATAGATGGTAGGTCATTTACCATCATGATATGGTCACAACATCAGCTCAGAGGAGATAACCGTGATCTGGTGAAGAATTGTATTTTGTGGACAAAACCAATAATAGATGCTTTCATAACTGTGAATTATCTTTATATGACCTATGAGTCAGGATGGCAGGGTATATATTTATACATCGGGACCTAAGATGGAGAAAATACAGGGGTATCTAGACTCACTGGGATGATGACAAGCTCAGATGAGAGTTTAGCCTGTTATTTATAAATGTGACAGGTTGTAAGGAAATATCATCACTGTGAAGATGAGAGGTTGTAGGATAAAGTCACTATAAAGAGATGAGGTTGTATGAAATTATCACCAATGTAATGATGAGAGGTTGCAAGTAAAAATCAACGTAAGGATAAGTGGTTGTATGGAAATATAAAATGTAGAAATGAGAGATTATAGAAAAATATTACCTTAGGATAACTGGTTGTATGAAAATATCATCAATGTAAAGAAAAAGGTTGTTGAGGAGGAAAGAATCCATGTGAAGATAAGAAGTTGCATTGAATCTTTGTAAAAATGAAACGTTGTTGGAAAATATCACCTAAGAGATATGTGGTTTTATTACCCTTAAGATAAATTTGCTCAATTCTGATTGGTCAATAGACAAAGCATACCAAACCATGTAGGGGGATTTGCCAGGGTGTACGAACCGTATACCCTGTCAAATCTGTCATGTGACACACTACACGGGACCTTGACCTTAGATGGAATGTGGCTGCCAAATGGCTGATCGCTTCGAAATTTTAGAGTTGGCGTATACAATTATGAGTATAAACAGAGTAATAAAATTCTTGCCATAATTTCTTATTTGTTTGTGTCAAAAAATATATCCCAAAAATAAAATGTTTCTGTATTTCACTTGTCGTTTAACAAAACCTCAAATTCGATAATTATTATCATAAACTAAGCCATCCCGAGTTATCTCCCTTTATGACCGTTCAGGAAAAATCATGGCGATACATTTTGCGTCTCATTCTGCCGATGATTGAATGTTGTTGTTTAAAGATAAGCTAAATAAAAAGATCTTAAGAGTAATAAATTTGTCACACGGTGTTTTGAAAGGGTGTATGGGACTGTAAAACCCTTGCAAATTCCATATTTCCTTCCGTTGCACCTCAGGAAATACAGAATTTACAAGGGTCTACTAATAGTATGGAAGTATCATCAATGTAATGTGAAGTTGTAGGAAAAATTCGACATACAGATAAGAGGTTGCATGAAATATTATCTATATAAAGATGAGAAGTTGTAAAGAAAAACCTTAGATTTTGGGGCTACAGAGAAATAATTATCATCAATGCAAAAATAAGATATTGTAGGGAAATATCAATGTAAAGATGGGAGGTTATAGGAAAATATCATTAACCATAAAGATGAGAGGTTGTAGGGAAATATCATCAATGTAAAGGTGAGTGGTTGGACAGAATCCCTTTCCGTTGGCCCTTACAACAAGCATAGATCACTAAGGCTCACATGTAACCAGGAATCCTAATGGTGTGGGGTTTGTTGACAGGTTTCTGAACACTGTGAAGCATGACCTAAATACTTCTTCAGAACATGGCATCAAATACAAGAAAACATGGAGGCAGAGGTCACAATATAACCTCACTGCATGGGGTTCGATGAGAGGTTTGTGGGTTTGTGAAGAAGACTGAAGCATGAACAGAGAAAACACACGCCATGACCTGAAATACAGCTTAAACGTGGTAAAGTCCTGACGAACTCATCTAAGCAAACAAATAACTTTGCCACAATATCTCTATCCATTTTTTGTCCAATAAATCTATCAAACATGGTTCGTGATTAAATGAAGACAGCTTACGATAAAATCTAATGAAAATGATCCTGCTGAAAAACTGCTCCCTTCAAGAAGGGCTTGAGCAGTTGCCGAGGCCATTAGTCCTCATTCCCCCTGAGTCCACACTTCTTGGCAGCTTCAACATAGACATATGGCCCCCAAGCAAAATATGCTCTGCATGCAATCATCCTGATTGCGAGTTATGGAGACCTACGGCTTATGCCAGGCTTACGCAAATTTGAGAAAAACATGAACATGTTCAATAATTTGTTCTTGGGAAGGGATAATCTTGCAGAGAAGCATATTATTTTCTCATGTCATAACGTTCATGTTTGTGATATGTATTTTTTATTATGCAAAAGTGGATGCATGGGTGAACTAAAGAGCAATAATCTTTGAGACACACTTAAAGTGTAGGCTGATGAGTAAAAATAAAACTCACTTAAACTCACAGTAGTGCTAAGCACACCATTAAATATTCAACCTTTTTACAAGCGTTTTCAAAATAATTCACACATATGACAGTATGGATATAGTATTGCCCCAAACAGACTATGTACAAGATGGGGTGGTGGGGTAGCCCAGTGGTTAAGCCAATCACAAATTTATATACAAGATAGCCAAGTAAATGCTTTACCATCAGGTTAATCAACAATTCTTCAGTCAAAATCAGCTGTGAATATTGCTCTTATGTGAAGAAACAAGTGTAACATCATCTTAATGCTGATGAAACAATCACCCACTTCCACTTCGAGAACTTCAGTCACCCCTTGGCTCTGCCTGAAGCTATTGGATGAACAGGAGTTGTCTCCCTTTCATGCCTTGTCTACGGTAATCACTTGTGTAAGAAATCAGCTCTGGAACACCTGTCAGCGATCACAAGGAGAACCACACAGACACAGATTGTTACCTACACTATCTGTCGCTTATACAGGCTTTAATTAACAAACACTGATCCCGGAAAAAGTAACATCTTTCAGTGTGATGATTAAACAAGCCAGCCATGTCTTCTGTGTGTTGAGTGACATGACTTTATCAGACAGCCTATCACTGGAGCACTCCCGATCTGCCAATTAAACCTTCCTGTCTCCAGTAATTACTGCATTCTTCGGGACGGGTGATTGGTTAACCTATGTGTATGTTTGCAGGTATTTTGTAGTTTTTTGGTCCTCTAACCACTTACTGGCCTATCAACTGATCAGTGATGCAGGTGTTAAACTGTGAAAACTAGCTAGACCACCTATTTTGGAGAGTTGTTTAAAGTGGGGGCTAACATCTAGTTTCTGAAATGAATTTCACAGAAAAATGGCTCCTAAATCTTTATAAAAATATTATGAAAAGGATCCCAGATACTTCCTTCATAATTTCTTTGACTGGCATTTTAGAATTAGTGGAGTACAATACTGACAAATTCGTGGATAACAACTGTTGTCAAGCAGGAATGAATTTGTTATCCAAAACTTTGTCAGTATTGACTTTCTTCATGTTTTTGTGAACATTTTCTATCCATTGTGTTGTATGAGCCTCGAGCATGCCCCTGTGGCCTGGAGTTCAGGGTGCCGTTGTACAAAGCGATCTTAGCGTTAAGATGGCTGTAACTCCCATACCTTAACATAGACTTAAGGTAGTCTTAGCGCTAAGGTGGCTGTAACTCCCATACCTTAACATAGACTTAAGGTAGTCTTAGCGCTAAGGTGGCTGTAACTCCCATACCATAACATAGACTTAAGGTAGTCTTAGTGCTAAGGTGGCCGTAACTCCCATACCTTAACATAGACTTAAGGTAGTCCTAGTGCTAAGGTTGTTTTGTACAAGGGCACCCTGGGCTGTATAAGTGACCTTATCTTTTAATATTTCACTTAAACTTAGGGTGTATTGGGTATATTTGTTTGAGTTAGAAGATACAATAGTGATATACTTTGAAGGACCTAGGGGGTCACTGAGACTACCACAATTAAATTTAAGATACTGTAAACGTACTTATTTTCGCGTGGTGCAATTTTCGCGGAATTGACAGTTTAGACTACATCGCGCGGTCAATTATTTGCGCAATCAGTAATTGCCGTATGTTATTTAAATCATGAAGATATTCACTTAAATACTGACCGCTTGAAAGCAAGATATTAGCTGTATTGTGTTGCAATACCACCAACCCTCTACTTGAAGAAAAACAATGTCTGAATTACGGAATTAGTGTTATGACACAGAAGGCAGTAGTGTTGGGAATTGGTTGAAATAACACAATTGATGATTCCTTCATTACCATCGAACAATCATCGAAAAAAATTGGTTAGCGTCATTTTTCAGATTATCCTATCCAGGTTGTTACTGCAGATATGTATGACATGATGCAACTTGCTACTTTAAAGTGATGACTAATATATCATGAACATAAACTTCCCGGAGTCTTCAAAAAATATATCCAGTCATGGCTCTTCAGTTAGTGAAGTGAGTTTTCTAAGAATTAAACACGTTTTCAGGCCCTGACAACTTCTACGATATGTTCCATTGTCAAGTATTTCGAAGACTAAAACAGTAGTTCCAAAATTGTTTATGTTCAATTATGAGAAAATGTGTGATCGATTGCTTGGTCGTTTGGTCACTGCGACCAATCTTTGATTATTTCAATTAATCGGAACACCACTAGAAGGCAGTACAAATGCAATATGCAAGAACAGTGGATGCAGATATTTGAACACAATCCAGGTGAAACTACTTCTATGTTTACGAGAGTCAGAATGAGAATATTAAGCCAGTATGTCTCTTTGTACACTTTGTAAACACTGTTAACAGTGAAATGCCAAATAAGCACCTTTCCTGCAAGACAAATATTCAAACATTGTGGTTACATCTATTTTTGGTTTGATTTGTTGTTTAACGGCATACTCAGCAATATTCCAGCTATGGCCGTGGTTTCTAAATAATTGGGTCGGACCAAACAATCCAGTGATCAACAACATGAACACTGATCTTCGCAATTGGGATAGAATGCTCTTAGTCGCCTCTTATGACAAGCATGGGTTGCTGAAGACCCAATTCTAATACCTTCACGGGTATGGTTACATCTATCTATGTGCTGATGACAAAATATAATGATCTTTACCTCTTTGTTGCCTGCTTTCCTGCGCTTGAGGGAGGGTCTAAAATCGTCTCCATATCGCACAAAGTAGTAGTAGGACACCAGCCGATCCAGGGGGTCGCGTACTATGTTAATGTATATGGGCTTCTTCAGCAAACCAAAGCTGTGGACGGAAAGAAAAACTGTGTAACTATCATCTTGAAAACAATATAGCAAGCTTTTGTCATATACGACAAATTATAACACAAGAAGCATCCTCAAGTCTGTGCTTCTTGGTACTTGGTGACAGATGGAGGTGACAAGCAGCCCTGTGGTTTAGGTATTTGCAGGCATGTACTTGATACAAGGCATGTACTTGATACAAGGCATGCAGCTTGATACAAGGCATGTACTTGATACAAGGCATGTACTTGATACAAGGCATGTACTTGATACAAGGCATGTACTTGATACAAGGCATGCACTTGATACAAGGCATGTACTTGATACAAGGCATGTACTTGATACAAGGCATGCACTTGATACAAGGCATGTACTTGATACAAGGCATGTACTTGATACAAGGCATGTACTAGATACAAGGCATGTACTTGATACAAGGCATGTACTTGATACAAGGCACTTGATACAACTGGACTTGATACAAGGCATGATACAAGGCATACTTGATACAAGGCATGCACTTGATACAAGGCATGCACTTGATACAAGGCATGCACTTGATACAAGGCATGCACTTGATACAAGGCATGTACTTGATACAAGGCATGCACTTGATACAAGGCATGCACTTGATACAAGGCATGCACTTGATACAAGGCATGCACTTGATACAAGGCATGCACTTGATACAAGGCATGCACTTGATACAAGGCATGTACTTGATACAAGGCATGATACAAGGCTTGATACAAGGCATGTACTTGATACAAGGCATGTACTTGATACAAGGCATGCACTTGATACAAGGCATGCATTCTTGATACAAGGCATGCACTTGATACAAGGCATGTACTTGATACAAGGCATGTACTTGATACAAGGCATGTACTTGATACAAGGCATGTACTTGATACAAGGCATGTACTTGATACAAGGCATGTACTTGGCATGCATGATACAAGGCATGCACTTGATACAAGGCATGTACTTGATACAAGGCATGCATGCTTGATACAAGGCATGTACTTGATACAAGGCATGCACTTGATACAAGGCATGTACTTGAGATAAGGCATGTTGATACAAGGCATGTACTTGATACAAGGCATGTACTTGATACAAGGCATGCACTTGATACAAGGCATGCACTTGATACAAGGCATGTACTTGATACAAGGCATGTACTTGATACAAGGCATGTACTTGATACAAGGCATGTACTTGATACAAGGCATGTATGATACAAGGCATACATAGGCATGTACTTGATACAAGGCATGTACTTGATACAAGGCATGTAACTTTATACATGTACTTGATACAAGGCATGTACTTTTATACAAGGTACTTTATACAAGGCATGTACTTGATACAAGGCATGTACTTGATACAAGGCATGTACTTGATACAAGGCATGTACTTGATACAAGGCATGTACTTGATACAAGGCATGTACTTGATACAAGGCATGTACTTGATACAAGGCATGCACTTGATGCATACAAGGCATGCACTTGATACAAGGCATGTAATATACAAGGCATGTGATCAACACAGAACAAACCAAGTATCAGTGAATGAGTCATCACCAATACATAAACTTATGTCAAATATAGCAAACAATTGTTCATAACAAGCCACTCATATTCCAAACTTTGTTCTAGTGAGAGAGTTCTCAAAAGTGAATATTCCACTATTACCAAGTTAAAAACTTTTGTAAACTAGACAAGTATCATGTAGCATAGATAATTCAACTTTAAAGCATATCCAAGAACAGACATATTCTATAAAAATAAGAAACATCATCCTTGGTGAAATGTCATTGGAATAAAAATTGCAGCTAATCATCATTTGCTTAAATTTGCACAAACAACTGTCTTGAAAACATCTTCTGAAATGCTTCCAAAGTTATGTTACAAAACAATGTTTAAGTGAATAGGCCCATAGAGCAGAAAGTGTTTAATCAGATGGAAAACTTGAGACAAATTAAAGTTGTTACTGGAGAAAAAGTCACAGGGATAAAGAGAACACAGAAAATATATTTCATGCTTGATCTAGCAATATCAGTCTTCAGACTGTTGTTCTTTTCAGTATCTGTTACCTAATACTAAGCTTCAGAGAAAACGATTCAAAATAGTCATGTTGCATACAAGGTGTCACTAAATGGATCAATGTAGTGACATTTACCTACAGTGTCAATATGCTGTCTGTAGATGTGATGTTAACTTACAAAGTGTCAGTAAATGGTTCAATGTCGTGACATTTACTTACAAAGTGTCAGTAAAAGGTTCAATGTAGTGACATTTACTTACAATGTGTCAGTAAATGGTTCAATGTAGTGGCATCTACTTACAAAGTGTCAGTAAATGGTTCAATGTAGTGATGTTATCTTACAAAATGTTAGTAAATGGTTTGTGACATTTACTTACAAAGTGTCAGTAAATGGTTCAATGTAGTGATGTTATCTTACAAAGTGTCAGTAAATGGTTCAATGTAGTGATGTTATCTTACAAATGTCAGTAAATGGTTTGTGACATTTACTTACAAAGTGTCAGTAAATGGTTCAATGTAGTGATGTTATCTTACAAAGTGTCAGTAAATGGTTCAATGTACTAATGTTATCTTACAAAGTGTCAGTAAATGGTTCAACGTAGTGATGTTAACTTACAAAGTGTCAGTAAATGGTTCAATGTAGTAATGTTATCTTACAAAGTGTCAGTAAATGGTTCAATGTAGTAATGTTATCTTACAACATGTCAGTAAATGAGTTTGTGACATTTACTTACAAAGTGTCAGTAAATGGTTCAATGTAGTGATGTTATCTTACAAAGTGTCAGTAAACGGTTCAATGTAGTGATGTTATCTTACAAAGTGTCAGTAAATGGTTCAATGTAGTGATGTTATCCTACAAAGTGTCAGTAAATGGTTCAATGTAGTGATGTTATCTTACAAAATGTCAGTAAATGGTTTGTGACATTTACTTACAAAGTGTCAGTAAATGGTTCAATGTAGTGATGTTATCTTACAAAGTGTCAGTAAATGGTTTAATGTAGTGGCATTTACTTACAAAGTGTCAGTAAATGGTTCAATGTAGTGATGTTATCTTACAAAATGTCAGTAAATGGTTTGTGACATTTACTTACAAAGTGTCAGTAAATGGTTCAATGTAGTGATGTTATCTTACAAAGTGTCAGTAAATGGTTTAATGTAGTGGCATTTACTTACAAAGTGTCAGTAAATGGTTCAATGTAGTGATGTTATCTTACAAAATGTCAGTAAATGGTTTGTGACATTTACTTACAAAGTGTCAGTAAATGGTTCAATGTAGTGATGTTATCTTACAAAGTGTCAGTAAGCGGTTCAATGTAGTGATGTTAACTTACAAAGTGTCAGTAAATGGTTTAATGTAGTGACATTTACTTACAAAGTGTCAGTAAATGGTTCAATGTAGTGATGTTATCTTACAGAGTGTCAGTAAATGGTTCAACGTAGTGATGTTATCTTACAAAGTGTCAGTAAATGGTTCAATGTAGTGATGTTAACTTACAAAGTGTCAGTAAACGGTTCAATGTAGTGATGTTAACTTACAAAGTGTCAGTAAACGGTTCAATGTAGTGATGTTATCTTACAAAGTGTCAGTAAATGGTTCAATGTAGTGACATTTACTTACAAAGTGTCAGTAAATGGTTCAATGTAGTGACATTTACTTACAAAGTGTCAGTAAATGGTTCAATGTAGTGATGTTATCTTACAAAGTGTCAGTAAATGGTTCAACGTAGTGACATTTACTTACAAAGTGTCAGTAAATGGTTCAATGTCGTGATATTTACTTACAAAGTGTCAGTAACAGGTTACAATGTAGTGACATTTACTTACAAAGTGTCAGTAAATGGTTCAAAGTGATGTTTCTTAAGTGTAGTTCAATGTAGTGATGTTAACTTACAAAGTGTCACTAAATGGTTTGTGACAATGGTTAGTGTAGTGATGTTATCTTACAAAGCGTCAGTAAATGGTTCATGTAGTGACATTTACTTACAAAGTGTCAGTAACAGGTTACAATGTAGTGACATTTACTTACAAAGTGTCAGTAAATGGTTCAATGTAAATGTGATGTTAACTTACAAAGTGTCACTAAATGGTTCAATGAGTGATGTTATCTTATCTTACACAAATGTCAGTAAATGGTTCAATGTAGTGATGCTATCTTACAAAGTGTCAGTAAATGGTTTAATGTAGTGACATTTACTTACAAAGTGTCAGTAAATGGTTCAATGTAGTGATGTTATCTTACAAAGTGTCAGTAAATTGTTCAATGTAGTGATGTTAACTTACAAAGTGTCAGTAAATGGTTCAATGTCGTGACATTTACTTACAAAGTGTCAGTAAATGGTTCAATGTAGTGATGTTATCTTACAAAGTGTCAGTAAATGGTTCAACGTAGTGGCATTTACTTACAAAGTGTCAGTAAATGGTTCAATGTCGTGATATTTACTTACAAAGTGTCAGTAACAGGTTACAATGTAGTGACATTTACTTACAAAGTGTCAGTAAATGGTTCAATGTAGTGATGTTATCTTACAAAGTGTCAGTAAATGGTTAGTGACATTTACTTACAAAGTGTCAGTAAATGGTTCAATGTAGTGATGTTATCTTACAAAGTGTCAGTAAATGGTTCAATGTAGTGACATTTACTTACAAAGTGTCAGTAACAGGTTACAATGTAGTGACATTTACTTACAAAGTGTCAGTAAATGGTTCAATGTAGTGATGTTAACTTACAAAGTGTCACTAAATGGTTCAATGTAGTGATGTTATCTTACAAAATGTCAGTAAATGGTTTGTGACATTTACTTACAAAGTGTCAGTAAATGGTTCAATGTAGTGATGCTATCTTACAAAGTGTCAGTAAATGGTTCAATGTAGTGACATTTACTTACAAAGTGTCAGTAAATGGTTCAATGTAGTGACATTTACTTACAAAGTGTCAGTAAATGGTTCAAT